AGGTAACAGAGATCCCATGCAGTCTTTTGGTTGATTGGACTAAAGCACAGCTCACACAGTGAATTTTGCACATTTATTTAAAAGAAAAAAATAAAGGAAAAAAAGCATCCGAATACCCCTGCATGCAGAATAGGAACTGTCCAAATCCCATTTCTAATTGAAATTCAAAGAGAGACATTCAAACTCAAGATTTTACAAACACACAGAAACAAGTGACACCCCGCTGCCCTTTTGATTGAGTATCAACATGCCGAGTGGAGAACAGAATTCCTCCAGCCATCTGGTCTGGAAGCTGACCTGTGGTCCTCGCCATGCTGCTTTGACAGCCCTTACCAAGCATAATCATTTTTTCCAAGGGGAAAGAGTTGGAAAACTCTAAACAGTATAACATAATTTGGCTCCAAACCCAGAGTTCCTTCTGACAAACCATCTGACCACAGCTAGTTAATCAAAAATAGAAATGATTATGCATGCTGTCAATAAACAGAGCAGGCTATGGGAATACATAAATCTGGTTGATAAATTGTGTGATTTATTTATTTTTCTTTGAAATGTTTTAGTTTTGGGGTTAAATATGCTCTGCAAATAATGTTGAACAATGCCTAATTTTATCTGTGTTTCAGGGCTGAGGCTTATGCTGACAAAAGTGAGTCAACTTCTTCCGTTCTTATTGTTTTATTTATTTATTTATTTATTTAATTAGCATTCGAGGACATACGACTAAGTGATAATGTTTGTTTCAGATCGCGGTAAAGTTGTTGGAGGACTGCCTGATGTTGTCACTATTATGGAAAAGAAGGTAAGTTGGTGTGAACATATGAATAATTTCTGCTCCACTACATGTGTACACATTCTTAAAAATCATCTTTTTGTCTTTTTGAAGACCCTGAGTTTAACCTGCACAGTGTGTGGAGACCCCAAGCCTCAAGTGTCTTGGCTGAAGAATGGAACAGAGGTTGAACTTGATGATAAGGTAATCACCCATTGTAGGTTTGACACTGATCAGAATATTTTTCTTTATTTATTTGAATGTGTTTAGTTTAGACATGTGCACTGCCTACTGGGCTTTTCTTTGATTTCTACCTGCCAAATACTGACTTTGAGGTGTTTAACCTTCTAAGAAACCCACCTCATTGTTTTCTTGGTCTGGTAAATCATTGTATTGATCCAACACAATTACAACAGGATGTTTCTTTAATTCTGGCCACCACAATAGAGTCCCCACACTGAGTACAAGCCCTCTGGATTATGTGGTGTTATGTGGTGACTTTGACTGCATAAAACATCCCCACAGTCACTGGAGTCATTCAGGGGTCATCATAAAGAGCAGAATAAACTTTGTCAAATTGGAATCAACAGCCACAACTGCAGTAAAAATCAGTTCTTATTCTCAGCTCATCCCACCAGWAAGAGTGATCAGAACCCCTCAACATTATTTATTTAGCACACGTTATGGGTATTGTGCAATCTAAAGAGTAGTCTTACAAAAGTAGTTTTTCACACGCAAACATGTATTTGTAACACCTAGCCTAAGGTCAGATTCTAGCCTGTGGCCATTTGCTGAATGTTGTCATGATGCACTGACTTGAGTTTTCACATGCTGAACGTCTCTTGCTCCTCCTTTTGTAACCTTATTGGGGGAAATAAAATACCTTTTTTATGGCAATGAGCTGACTTTACCAAGTCGGAATGCTTATTAGTGCCTCTGTTAACTGTTTTACTTCCAACATTGCTGTCCCTCTCATCTTGATACCAAGAGACAAAATGATCATAGGGGTTTGCTGTCTGATGAAAGTGATGCAATAGAAGTAAACGATAAAAGCAAAACTTCCAGGAAATTAAATGCGGAGGGCTAAATGTTTATTGTGATTACAAATCACGAGAAATATCTGAATGTATAAACATGTTGCATGTATAAATAACACAAAATATGCAGAAAWATACCAAAAAAGGCAATAAATAATAATAATAAAAAACTTAGTCTACATGAATTTAAATGTGTGGGTGGACATCGTGTAAGTGTCTAAGCTTTTCATGTTTTCAACCAGGATTTAAATAAAATACAAAAAAATAACACTGCATGATTTTAGAAGAGTTAAAAAATGCAATCAGACCCATCCTTCCATATTATCAAATCCAACTTACAAGTTAAAGTCTACAATATCTGTCCTGAGACAATAAGAGGCACTTTTAACAGCACCCCGTGGCTCCTACAGCTTTGAGCATTTAAGTTTTAGAATCCCAGGTCCAGGAGGATTTTCTGTTCAAGTTTTCCCTCCCCTTCATGCCTCCCCTCACCTGATAATAATCTGTTTATAACAAAAACTGAAGTCCTTGGTGAAATGTTTCTCAAACCCAGGGGTTACCTCTTTCCTGCCTTGTTAGTACTAAAAAAATATAAAGGATCAAAAAACAGACATGTATACAGATCCCAAAAATATTCCTCTGAACTTCAAAAAATAAGCACAAAACAGTTAAATATAGGTAAGGTGGAAATAAACCAAAAAAAGGGATGGAGGTTTATATATATATA